CTGTCGCATTATCCAATCGATAAAGATAATCAAATCTTGATTAGTTTTGATTATCTTTGATTTGTGATCTAAACAAACATGCACATAGAGATATGTTGGCTGAAATAAATGATAAGAAATGTCTAATCATTAAACATAAATCGATTTTTTGGAGTTATTTGCAAGCCTCTTAATGGCCATCTGTGAAGCAAAACGCGCCTTCTGGATTCTTCTGCTACCCACCAACAACCAATTAACTGATTCGTCGATTTATTCATAAACAATCCTCAAATAGACATTAAAGAAAAGAAAAAACTTAATTCAGTGAAGTGGCTCTTCTAGGCGAATTCGTTTCCTCCATTTATCTGTACAAACCCAATTGTATCCAATTTCCTTATCATGAAAAAGGAATGTATGGAAGTGACTATTATTATTCCTTTGGGTTCCGAGTGAAACATAGGGTTCCACTTTTTTCTCTTATTTGCTATCCTCTTCGGCTGGCTAGCTCCATGATTGACCATAATCTCTAATCTCCTCTTCTTCCTCCAGTTGACACGATCTCCTCCATGTCATCCTCTCGCCGACGACCCACTTGTCGCTTCCTCTTGGGATTCCACCTGAGTGATGGCCTGCATTGCGGGCGATGTCATTAGACGGCCTCCTCAAACAGCATATGCTCGCTCCATCTCCATTTCCTCCTTACATATCCGTCCACTGAGCTATCGACTGTTGCTCGTCAGTTTTTTGCCAGTCAGAGTTTCTTTTTGCTAGTTGTTTCTGGCCAGCAGATCAGCCACTTGATCTTTAGTATGAAGCTAGCCAGCGAAATGAGCAGCTGCTGACAAAAGTCAGTAACTTGTTGGAAATGTTTTTCGTGCACTGTTACACAGGGCATATTTCTGACCTATATAGGAGCACCAACTGACTCATTTCACATTTGTGTTGAACAGAATCCGAATTTTTTTGTTTACACTGGTTGGCTGAGTGAATGTAGAAGATTTCCAAACTGATTTCAGGTTGATGAAGGCGCCTGTCTTGTTTGTGTTTCTGATTCTGGCTTGCTAGTGGGCTGGCTGGCTGGCTTTGACATCTTCATCCGTGCTATCCGACTGCCTATGGTCGAAAGCTTGCTTCCTAGAGGGACAAATTGAATGAAGTGAAGTGACCTCTGTCAAACCTCTCCTGTTGGTGGTGATCGATGCCGGTTGTTGTTATTGTTGCTGTTGGTTGGTTAGTGGGTTGGTTATCTTCATCACCTCAGCCTTCTCCACGTTTCCTTGAATTCCTGTCTTCGCTGCCTAACGCTTCTACGAGTTTACTGGTTTTCCTCTGCGCACGCCTTCGAGTTTGTCTGATATTAGACATAAGTCATCCACACAAGAAATCCCGACCTTTTAGAGTTTTCTTATCAGGGGTTCAGTGTACTCCTGTCTTTCACAGTTTGGTGCATAATCCAATCCAGCAAAATTAAGAATATCACAGGTGATAACAACAGGTAGCCTTGTCCTACTTTTTTATCCACTTCAAAGGCTTCTTTGTTTAGTTTTCCGTTGTGGATCATCTGACACGTGACATTGTCATATAACTTGTTATTGAGATTGATAAAAAAAATGGGCACTGCACGCCGTAATGTTGAAGCAGTTTCCGAATTACTTCTCGATCAACGCTGTTGAAGGCCTCTTTCGAATTCGACGAAGTTAAGGTAAACGTTTGACTCTCATTGTATGCCCTGTTAGTTGACGATATGTAGAGTTACAATTTGATCAGCATATGACTTGCATTTCCTGAATCCAGCTTATTTATTCTGGCTGGCAAATTTCTATATCCAATGCATCTTTTAGTCCACTCCATATTAGGCACACTAAACGAATGAAACAAAAAATAGTGATCTGAACAGCTGTCTCATTCAAATCTAAGAATTTCCAACAGTATCCACATAAAACAGTAGCCTCACACTAAATTTTTTCCATTGTTTTCAATGACTGTACCCATAATTCCCACTTCTGGATGATACCTAACGTTGGAATTAAGTATTATTATTTTTAATTTTGCTCCCTTGGGTTCCTAGTGGAACATAGGGCTTCACCTGCACGTCTCAACTTGCTTCTGTCTTCTGCTGTACTTTTCACCTGCATCCATGTTAGTTCATACCCTTTCAACTCTTCTTCACACGATCTCCTTCACGTTACCCATGCACTGACGACCCACCCGCCGCTTCCCTTTCGGCCTGGTTCCACTCGGGCAATGGCCTGACGCGCTATGTCACTCAGCGGCGGCCTCCTCAGCGAGTGTCCAATCCATCCAGCTCCACTTTCTCCTGCATATTTCTTGGGCGACTGGTTCTTGTCTTGTTTGTTTGTTTCCATAGTTTCTTGTTCGTGATTCTTTCCGACCATCTGATCTTCAGTATAGAGCGAAGACAGTTGTTAATAAAGGTCTGCAACAGGCTGTTGGATATAATCTTTGTGACCCGCACACCAAGTTTCTGATCCGTATAGAAGAACTGACTGACTTGACGTTTGTATTGAAGATCCGAATTTTGTGGTGAATACTGAGTGATGAAGATTTCCAGATTGGTTTCAGGTTGACGAATGTGTTTCTCGCCTACCTGATTCTCGCTCGATTTGACATCCTCGTCCGTTCCGACTTCCTGTAGTTGAGACAATGCTCCCTAGATAAGTGAGTGAATGAAGTAACCTCTTTCAAATCCCTCCCGTTGATGGTGATTGACGCTGGATGTCGCTGTTGTTGGTTGGTTATTTTAATCACATCCATCTGGTCTATGTTCACCTGGAGTCCTGTCTTCGCTGGCTGCCTCTTCGACCATTTTGTCGGTTTTTGCTTGTAAGTCTTCGATTTTGTGTGGCATCAAGCATAAATCATCCACGCGCGAAATCCACGTCTTCTAGGTTCTTCACGTTGGTCCAGGATATCCCTGTCTTCTCGTTTCCCACAGTCTGACGCATAATCCAGTCAGTCCACCACAACTAGGAATATCATCATTGGTGATAACAAGCACCCTTTTCTGACTCCTGTGTTTACTCCAAACGCCTCGCTGAGTCTTCCGTTGTGGATCACTTGGCAGGTGCCGTTGTAGTACAGCTGTTGAATAAGGTTGATGAATATTTGGGGTACGCCGTAGTACTCGAGTAAATTCCAAATTACTTCACGGTCAACGCTATCGAAGGCCTTCTCAGAGTCTATAAAGTTGAGGTAGAGGTTTGATTGCCATTCCATGCTTTGTCCTGTGATGATGATGCGTAGAGTTGCAATTTGGTCGGAACATGATTTGCCTTTCCTGAATCCAGCTTGTTCTGGTCGGAGTTCTGTCTCCAGTGCGTCCTTTAATTTCTCCAAGACGATCCGACTCAGGATTTTACTTGGCGTCGACAGGAGCATGATTCCTCACCAGTTTTTGCAGAGTGAGGCGTAAGTCGCCCTTCTTTGGTAGTTTCACGAGGTGACCTTTCCTCCAGTCAGTAGGCACCTTTCCCTCCTTCCAGACCTTTTGCAATAATGGAGTCAGCATGTCTGCTGTCGTCACTGGGTGTGCTTTCAGTGCGTCAGGGGTATTCCATCTGGTCCAGCTGTTTTTCCAGCTATCAGAAGTTTGATTGCGTTCAAGACTTCAGCTCTCGTTGGAGGATTGATGTCAACTTGCAGTTGTGTGCGCGCTATTGTTGGTATTTCTGGACGGGTTGCAGGTGATGGTCGGTTCAAGAGTCCTTTGAAGTGATCCACCCATTGTTTAATCTGTTTTTCTTCCTTGGTAATGGGCTTCCCTTGGCTGTCTTTTATAGGTTTCACTTGTGTTGATCTCTTCCCGGATAGAGATTTGGTTATCTGATATAGTGTCCTCAGGTACCTTTTGCCTGCTGCCTTCTCAGCTTCAGTGGCGAGGTTGTCGTAGAATCGTCTTTTGTCCCTCCTAGCACTCTTCTTCATTTCTTTGTCCAGTGCTTTGTAAGTTTAGCTCATCGTCTCCTTCTCCTGTCTGTCTTTGCATTGAATCATTTTCTCTTTCACCATTCTCCTCTCTTCTATTAATTTCCAAGTGTCCGTTGAGAGCCATTCCTTGTCTTGTCTCTTCTTTCTCCCTAGAACCGTTGAACCCGTTTCGTTGAGAATCGCCTTCAGAGACTTCCAATGTTCTTCCATGCATGATTCTTCAGTGATGTCACGTAGTGTTTCCTGCTTTGCTCTGACAGTTGTAGTGAAAGTGTCTTTTGTGGTTGTGTCCTTCAGTAATTGAGTGTTGAACTTGGATTGTGGCCTATCCCCAGCTATTCTTGAGGCTTTTAGTTTCACCTTGAAAGTCCCTTGTACTTTTGGAATTAAGTAGTATCTCTTATTCTGCTAAAATCAAAATCAAAAATATATCTCACTAGTTCACATTTTCGACTCTCTCTCTCTCTAATCTGTGGATAGTGAATAGCAGTGGAATCCAGGATGCTCATTTCGTCCTATTTGGAAGTCGTCAATTGGATGTACCTGCATTTTACATTTCCTCTCTCTCTCTTCCGAAAGCGTTTATCTCACACGCGTGTTTCTCACCCATAATTATGATAATAGTGCTAAGTAGAATGAGTTCATTTCATTAATTTAATAAATAAATAAATTGCTTATCAAAGTAGAAATTTCTAATCTAGTAAATTTTATCCCGCCTACAGTTCATTGTCCTGATCCTCATGATTCACACACTCACTCACTCGCTAGCTAGCTAGCTCACCCATACGCACAAACACACATATGCGCACACACATACACACGCATAAACATATTTCGTTTATTCCAGTTCAATCTCTATCTGTATATATAGACATATCTTTACAACCTTGATGCTAAATTTAATTGGTCAATTGTAAAGTATCGTGAGATATGCTCATGTTGGTCGATAGCTAATCATTTAACTATTCATATGTCTCTACATGTGTAAGTGTGTATGTGCGTGTGTTCATTTATTTATGCCATAGATGTATGCGTATAGGTATATAAATATCCTCAAATTATTTGCCAATTTCATCTTCAAAACGTATTTCTTCCACGTGCTGTATTATTTTGTAATTATATACTTACATACATATATATGAGTTACACAATAATATCATGTATTATTATGAGTCATGTCATGTCATACTTAGCGGGGAAACAAAACATTCAATGATCAATTTCATCATTTAAACATTGAAAGTCAAACTGTCACGGAAATAGACAACAAAGCGGAACCATCGAAGATTACATATTAGAGACATTCAAACTAAACAAAGAATTACAAGTCACTTAGATTTATTTTTTAGAAAAAGAAAGCGGTACATCATACTACTGAATTCATATATATAAGTAATATCAATTGCAATTATTTTCACTCTATACACCGGAATATGTATATATCTATACAGTGACGCTGAATAGTAGTAGGTTATCTTTCGATTCATGACAGTTGTTCCTATCTCTCTCTCTCACACATACACTCTGTCTGTCTCTTATAGTAATCAAACAGGAAGAGAGCAACGACAGAAGGAGAATGTAATGTGTTCTCAGTAGATAGAAAGACAAAGTAGAACTTAAACATCAAACGTTTTCCGTTTTCTGTATTTACTCGCCGTCTCTCTCTCTCACACACACACACACTGTCTCTCTCCGTCTCACCCTCAATACATCTCAACACAGAGCATGTTGATTTTAGTCAATACTCTCCTCTACCGATATACATATAACGACGATAACTTCAATAAAATAATTCGTATGACAAAAATGTCATTGTCAGACAATTAGTCTGTTGATTGGTTAACCTGTACATATATATATATATATCTGTGTGATTCCCTCCATTTTTGTTCTCAAGGCACTGAAGAAACATTTCCAGTGGTAAACGAGGTAATAATATTTGAGTATGGATATTCTACACAACCAACAATCATACCTCTCATCCACACACACACATACACACACAAAAGAAATAATATGTTGCTGAGGAATTATACATTATACTACTACTACTACTACTACAAAACTTTGTAGAATTTTATCAATACTTCTTTGTCGAAAGAAAGCTCCCTAGAGATTAAAAAAATTAGCCGTATTCAAATTTAAACTATTGCATACTACTAATATTACCATTATTATTAGTAGTAAGATTAGTAACAATTCAAATTTCCTTTGAACATTTAAATATATATATATTTAAAAGTAAGTTTTCAATTGTCAATTTTGTTTATTAATTTTAAAGAAATGTTTTGGGCCTTTTTATTAGTTTGTATCATCTTAGTGGAAGTTAAGGTCTGAAATTTAGAGGAATCGGTAGCCTTACGTTCATGAGTCGATAGGGGGTTTAGTCGTGATCTCCTGGATGACTGGTGGTTAGTGGACTATTAAAACACAGTTTAACTGGTCAACTTAAAATATTTTTCTTCTAATGAATTTAGAAGCTTTTGACATGTTCCACTCGGAACCATACTTTGTTCCGTACTTTTAAGTCATTGTTAGTTCAATCTTTGATAACCCATAGGCTAACATGACCTCCTCCATGTCACCTTCGAAGTGCAGCCAAACTTGTTATTTTCTCTTCGGATTTCACTTCAGTGATGGCCTGGTGCGCGATGTTACCCGATAGTCTCCTCCGTATGTGTTTCCAACCCATGCCAATTTTCTTCTATACATTTGTTTGCCAATAAGTTCTTGATTGGTTCGTTCACAGAGTTTCTTGGTGTTGATTCCTTCTGGTCATCGTATCCTCAATATGGAGCCAGTGGAGACAACTGTTGGTGAAATTCTGCAGTTCTTTTTATTTCCTTCATATTCCGAGTGAAATATAGGGCTTCAAGATAGTGGCTTGAAGTTTCTGTAGCAGTGAGATTTATTTTTACAGGATGAGGTTGCCAGCCTCATGCACAACCTTCCCTCTTTACCAGAATTATTACTGGGTAAGTAGGGTAAAGGAGTGCGTCTGTGGCCGGGAATGGAACCCCGGACCATATGCATGGTCGGCAAGCATGCTGCGCTGCTGTGCCAATAACACACCCTGAAGTAGCCAGCTGGAAATGCTTACTGTGATGCACCAAGTTTCTGACCCATATAGAAGAAGTGACTGACTTCACATTGATGTTGAAAATCCGGATTTCGTTCGTCACACTGACTGAGTGCTGTAGATCTTCAAATTGATTTCAGAGTGATGGAGGTCTGTCTCAGCTTTTCGATTCTAGTTTTGACATCTTCATCCACGCGGTGTGCCTGTAGTTGAAACGACGCTTCCTAGATAAATAAAGCAAGCGACCTCTTTGAAATTTCTTCCAGTGATACTGATTGATGCTTGCTGCTGGGTGCTCAGTTTTCTTTTTGCTTCCTGTGCCTTTCGTCTGCATGGATCTATTCTGTTTGATTGAGATTCACTATTTTACTTTATGAAGCCATCACGTGTGAACATTTTTCTGCTCAGCATTCTCGTTATCGCTTTAAAGAAAGCAATGATGGACATTTTGTTCAGTGTTATTGGCAGTTAACGATGTAGCATGTGCTACTGATAAGGTTTATCAGTAGTATGTATATAAAGTAATGTTCATCGGCATAAAAATATCAAATAGCAGGGAGATAGGTTTGACATCAGGGAGCGAGAGAAAGCAAAGGATACAGTGTGCGTCATGGAAACACATGGATGATGTGAAAGGAACACGAAGAAACACAGTATGAACGAAGGTCAAAAGTAGCACAACACGGAAGATCTGTGGAAATGGTACGCTGAAGATAAGGTGTAAATAATTTGGCTCTATTGAGATACCAAATTCCAAATAGAACATTCCTTTACCAGGACTCTCGCCTTCTACTGTCTGTTACACAGTGAGTTACATCTATTTTGGACACATCAGAATAGGAACATCTTCTATATTAATATTAAATGGAGTAATAGGTTTTTCAGATTATGCAACTAATGTGCAAGAAAACTCCTAATCAATGACAAAATCTTATTATTACATCTTTGATGCGTTATGATTCGTAGACAGTTATTACTAGAGGATTTAAAAGTATAGCAAACCGGCTGTCAGTCTTGATCTATATGTCAAACACTGCGTTAACTGGTATCCCTTCATGAGGACTTTCATTCATTGGGAAATATATGAATTCGGATTCTACACATGAAAGATTAACAATGAAAACGTTGGTAGATTAATCAATAAACCTAATAAATTTAAAACATATTGAAGAATTCAATTTCATTCCAATCACTGGAAAGTGATGTCTGATAAAATAGACTTAATAGTGACTGATGCTAATTTTTTTTCTATTTTTTATCAATATCACAGATATAAATTATTTTACAGTTTTTGAGGAGAAATATCAAAATCATGTTTCTCTCAAACTATTTTCTAAATGTTTTCAGACAAAAATTATCAATGCCTCGAGTAGATTGACTTTTTAACGCTTTTGTCTACTAAAATAGCTCTAACTCATCAAACAGTAAACAATGATAATTGACCTTCAAGTATTGGCTTTTATAGGGGTTCCCTTTTTGATTGGTTGCAGGATTTCATCATGAGCTGACATCAGTTAGAGAACCATCGAAAAACCATTTCTGAGTACTGGATAGCTGTTTCGTCCTAGTTTGGGACTCATCAGTGGTACGCGCCCACTGGGATTCGACTGGCGCTATTCAGTCGACTGGCGTACCTGAGGTTCTAGTGGCAAGTGGTGCCCAGTAGGGTGCAGCAGGTTGAAGTGGAGGCAGTAACTCATCGAAGAAGACATTGCGAAATGGTTGAGCTACGTCATGAATTGGCGGAAGTTAGAACTCATTGGCTGGCAGATGGATCTGGTGCTGGTGGCTTAATGATCTGAGAGCTAACTATCCTTGTAACGAGAAAGTCCTGGGTTCAAACCCTGGTGGTGGATGCGTACTGCCGAAGAGTCCCATACTAGGCTGACGAGACAACTGTCCAGTACTCCCTGGCTGGTTTTACAATGGTTCTCTAAATGATGGCAGTTCATGATGGAATCCTCCAACCAATAATAATTGAGACTAAAGATTTTAGAACAGAGAGAGACAAATAACAGGACTGTTAAAATAATTACTATTTTTTCGGGTTGAACATGGGGTTTCAGACATGATATTTCAAGTCACGGTGGATGAGGTTACTACCTGCATACCCAACCACCTGCTTTTATTGTTCTTACTGTTGGTAAACTGACGTCTAGCAGGGCTTCTGTCGGGAATCAAACCCGGAAAGACGCGCGTTGACAGACTACAAGTGTTATGATAATTGATGGTCTAGGGTGTAATACAATTTTGTGTCGTAGCAGGACTCAATCCAGCGTCTTCAAGATTATTGACGCGTTAATGTGTGAGTGATCGAAATCGTCTTCCGTTTAAGTCTTACCGGTACTCAGATTTTAATAACAAATTACTGTTTGAAAATTTTGAAGAATGACTTCATATTGCACACTTGATGACTCTGAAAATCATGATTACTGTTTCGCCGGCAAAGATAATCAACTATCTAAGGTTTCTGAAATATTCGTTTCTTCGGTACTTACAGAAAGTTTTGCAGTGTGGTGGTGCTCAGGAAACCTGGAAAATGATAAGTTACCTTTCTTTGGTGCTACAGGTGATATCATTTCCTGAAAAAGAAACTCAGTGTTCCCAAATACCTTTGATGAGTTCAGTCATTAAATTCACTTCTTTTCTGTGACCATTAAAAATGGAAGCTCTTCACAAGTTAGCTATTTTTGACCACAGATGTTTACACTGCATTTCCCAGGTTAAACATGTAATATTATTACTATTCCATTAGGCTTCAAAAGCACATCACTGTTTGTCCCTGTTCTCCTCAGTCTTATATAACTGTGTCTACTCATCACACAATCTTCGTCATGCCATTATCGATCAGGCGCCCAACTTTCTCTTTCCTATTTGGGATTCACTCGAAGGCTTTCTGGGTAGTGTCATTCAACAATCCAATTCATCTGGATTTCCTTCGGCATATTTTTGAACCATGTGTTCCTGATTGCATTACCTTCTGGTCATTTACCTGATTTTCATACCAGAGCGAATCGGGCAGCTGCTAAGGACTGTCTCCAGCAGGTAACACGCCCACCAAATATGTGAAGCACATAAAAGTACTGATTGAATGGATACAAGTGTTAAAAATCCAAATCTTGTTGTAGTTAGGTGTAAAGTGTTAGGTAGGGGGGAGGAGGGAGGGAATTAAATCGATGAGATTGTGAAGCTGTATCATTTGAGATGGTCAGGGCACCTGTTACATGCGGAAAACCACCACCTACCTGGTTTCATAATGTTAGCTTACATCGGATTAAGCTATTGATGGAGGTTTCGACTGGTTGTCCAAGATTCCTTGAGACACTACGAACTATTGATTCCAGTCTCCTCATTCATTATCTCGTACATTTTGAGTTTTTTTTCTTTCCTCTACTTTTGTGTGCTGCTGTGATGGTTAGCGATTCAATCTGCTACACTTCGGTACAAAGTTCCACAATGAATCTCAGTTCCTAGCAGTTTTCTAAATTCTATACTAGGCTATGTGAAGAAACATTCTGTTGACACACACACAGACACACAAGGATCAGCCCCTCCCTTCAAATGCTCTTCATGACATTCTTTTACCTCCAAAAACAACTCACATAGGCCTTCCAAAATGAATAACATCCTCCGTAAAATTACCAAACAAAAAAGACATCAAGGAGTGATAAAAGGACCCAACAGTGAATATTATTAATCATAAGAATTAGAATGTTTCGTCTTACCTTCTACATTAAGAAGTTAAGACAATCAGGTATCAACCAACCTTTAGTTTTGCAATTTTTAAACTCCTGTATTTTACCTATTGTACTCTACTGCTCTCCATTAATCTTTCCTGGGCTGCTCAAAAAAGATTATATCATATTACGAAGAGTATTAAATGCTGTGAGTAGAGCTTGTGGTCTGCCACTGCATGAGCTCGCTAATACTATAGTCGAGAGGCATATAAATTCCTGTACGAAATGGGCAAAGGCTATACTGTCAGACCCTCTGCACCCCCTTTATTCACGCCTTTCCCCTTGTATCTCATCAGGTAGGACGAGAAGTCAATATAAAAAGATATATGCTCGTACTACTAAGTATAGAAATTCTACAATACCCTATTTAGCCCGTATTTTATGTGACGAAGGCTCTGTTAGACGTGAAACTTACAAGTTACTAT